GTGTATTACTGCAATTTCTGTATCATTGTATCTCTGTTTCACTCCATAATGTTTTATATTCAGAGTATATATGATGCATCTTTGCAAGCATATGCATAATTTTAGTTTCATTTGATCTAACAATAGGTACTGACAGAGCTCAGACAGTAGTGCTGTTTAAATCACTGGAGGCCTAAACATGTGCAACCTGAAAGTTTGTACAACATGTGAATGTTGCTGAGCAACAAATACAATTCCAACCAGGGAAGGGTGTTTTGGCTTTTTTTTTTTAGCTTGCATATTTTGAATGCTATCTGACACACTTACACAAACAATCAGGTGGAGTTCATTTGCGGTGTAAAATGGTGAGAGTAACCTATGCTATTATATTTCTTGAGAAGAGAAATCGTTGCTGTAGCCAGTGGGCTGGCACTGTTTGGATCTCCATAACTTCACAGGGTATTAATTGTTTCAGCACCATCAGCAGAATGGCCCCTGCTTGTTGAACTGAATCCAGAAGTAAAGTCATCACCCAAATTGCATAGGAGTATATACTGAGGCTCTCTAAGATGCTGAATGTTGAGATAGTGTTGCAGAGTATCAGGATCTATTTTAGAGGTGTCTGGAAATAGATAACTGATGCTGTGATAGTGAATGCATCACTAAATACACTGGACTATTATCATGATAAATTGCTAATTTATCAGAACAGAATTAATGTTAAGAAGACATGGCAGTGTCATTCACCTTTCTTGTGACAGACACACTTACCAACCCTAATATATAATAGTACTTAATGTTCATACAGTATACCATAAAATCAACATCATCATTGAGATTACTTACTTTTTATAGCTATGCTGATGATATTCAGCTTCCTGTGGCTGTGTCTTCTGATCACACAGGACCAAATGATGCCATTTTTAGATGCGTGTTTGATAGCAATGTTTTACAGGTCACCTGAAATTTGAGTTTGAGGTTCTAAGGCTTAAGGCCACCATATTAAATTCTCTGGGACTTACCCCAAGCAAACAAACCACAAACCTTGATAGCATATTTAACTCCAAGCTGAACTTTAGTGCTTATGTGGAGTTTGTCACCAACTCTGCTTTGTGTCATCTCAAAAAATATCACTAAACTAAAGTCAGAGACTAATAGATGCCTTTACAGGATATCCAGTAAACTGAACTGTAATAATGATTTTTTATCTGGTTGATTCAGAACTCTGATGAATGAGTGCTGACCAGAATCAGAAGGAAAGACAATGTTACACTAGTTTTAAAGTCATTACATTGGTTGCCTGTCAGTTTGCATATTAATTTTATTTTATGAGTTTTTAAAGAATGCCATGGTCTTGTACCAGCCTACTTGCCTGACATACTTCCAATGTTATGAACAACTACACTTTCACTGGTCCTGTAGAACGAGTCTTTTAGTTGTTCCAAAACACAATGTGTGTAGTCCCCACAATTAAGATTAAAACCTCCAAGGCACAGTCTGGTTGTTTAGCTAAAAAAAAAACTGTCTTGTGTCTTTTTCTGCACAAGCAAAATATATATAGTATCAAGTGTGGGTGTGGAGGATTTGGAGTTGTTGACAGAGCTGGGATAAGTAACAAAAGTAAAATAATGAACAATTAAATAATTTACATTTAAATAATTATAAGGTGCCCAGTTACTCCAGTGGAGACTCCCTTCCATACATCCATCATACAGTATATGCCACTTTTCCTGTTAAGGGTCACAAGGAGGCTGGAGCCATTCTGAGCTAACAATGGGGTGACAGGCGGGGTACACCCTGAACAGGTTGCCAGCCTATCACAGGGCAGACACAATATTGATCTCACATAATTCCAACTTCTCATGCATATACAGACCTGTACCTCATAGTCCTGTGCCTGATGCAGTATAAAAAGTTCACAGCTCTGGCTCATTCTTCAGCCATTATTAATTGGCAGCTGTGTGGCCCTTTGTAGCAACCACAGAGGTTTACCAAGATGAAGTACTGCAGTGATCTGTGCTGACTAATGTGACAATGTTTCCTCCAGTGAAATGTGTCATGTATTATACTTGACACGAGTGTGAT